TTAGGTGCTTGGACCATCAAAGGGGGGGGACTTGAAAGTGCGTCTAAGGCTTCGGGGCCTCTCCACGGAGGTTCGAGGCACCCAGACCGTTTAGAATGCCGCAACTAAGGAATATACCTTAAATCATATTAGCGGTCCCACTATAATTTAAGGTATACCTGTATCCCCAAACCCCACAAAATAGTAGGCAATGACCCCTTAATTCTAGGGTCTGACCCTTACCACGGTAGGCTCTTCCTGTATCCCCAAACCGTACAAAATAATAGGTTATGATCCCTTAATTAGAAAGTAGAACCCTTAAAACGGTAGGTTTTCGGGTCCCCAAGGTAAACCCTAAACCCTGAAACCCGAAAACCCTACAGATCCCTTATAGGAGCCCTTAAAGGAGCCCTTAAAGGGAAACCCCTAGTTCGATCCCTTCATTATGGGATTTTGGAGGTTCGAGGCATAGGCTGAGAGGAGTCAGCTTCGGTTTCGTTCCAGCTCAAGGCTTAGCGAACCCAGAGACTCCAATATCCCCTAATTAAGGAATATTCCTTAAATCATATTAGGGCTCCTTCTATAATTTCAGGAGTATTTCTTAATTAAGGGATATTGGTGTTTCTGGGAACATGGCGCCAAGATCCTAGGATACCCAGTAACCTAAGAATAAAAAGGCCTCTCTTTTTGGTATTGGGTAACTTTATAAGGAACCTAGGACTACAAAAAGGGAATAAGGGTACTACTGGGCATCCTAGCTTCTACAATTTAAGGAGTATTCCTTAATTAGGGGATATTGGAGTTTCTGGGAACATGGCGCCAAGATCTGGTGGCTCCGAAGACGCTGGCCCACCTTGGTCAGTCGCCTCCTCCTCTGCCCAGAGACTCCAAAACCCCTTAATTAAGGAATATACCTTAAATTATAATGGGAGCCCTAATATGATTTAAGTTATATTCCTTAATTAAGGGGTTTTGGAGGCTCTGGGTGGTTGTGCTTGCAGACGGCGCTGGCGAAGAGGATCCGACCGCTTTGGAAAGTAAAGGCCTGTGGTGGGGCCCTTTCCCTGGGCATCAAAATAGCCCAAAAGCCTTATATAGTATGGTCGTTGGGCCCAAAAGCCTTAATATATGAGTCCTTTGATGCCTAGGGTTTATTGATTGAATGCGTAAACAAGCAGAGCCTGTGCAGCGATACACGCCGCACCCCTCATCACCGCCTGGAGTCAACCTGTGCTCCACAGAAGCTGAAACGCGCACGTTCAAGGCACGCTCGAACCCAGAGACTCCAATATCCCTTAATTAAGGAATATGACTCAAATTATAGTAGGATCCCTTATATGGATTTAAAGAAGATTCCGTAATTAAGGGATTTTGGAGTCTCGGGGGATGTGGCAGCAGCTCAGGGTTTACAAGTTTTTGGGGTCCACTGGCTTTTGTCGGTGTCTCACATAGGGGCTCTGCAATTTCCGTCGGCCTTGCCTGAGGTGCTCACCTGGATAGGCTTTAAAAAGTTGAAGAATGCGTCCGACCAACCCCTTCACTCACTCGCCACAGCGACCCCTAAATCCTTAACCCTAGACGGGGTCTCCGAGCCTAAAGCCTAAACCCTTAAGTTTGAGGGTGCCTGGGCCCTCACAAGCCCTCAAATTGAAGCATTAACGCCCGTTAATGTCGAATCATCTTAAAGAACAGGTAGTAAGTGGAGCCACAAGTCAGCCTCAAACCCTCTACCTTATAATAACACTGAACCTTTAAAGGAATCCTTTGAAAGCAAACCTCACAGGGCCCAGAGTTTGGGATAAAATCATTTTGGCGTTTTATACTATACTTACAATAAGGGAACCCGCAAAACAACAGAGGCAATTGTTAAGGCCCCTATCCTAAGCCCTAAACCCTATAGATCCCTTCTAGATTCCTTAACGGAGCCCTTAAGGATCCCTTTGAAGGTAGTCCCTATAGTACCGTCCCAGCAGCACCCTCTCGGCATTGACATGGCAGGCCTGCGGTGCTCGGCAACCGGATTTAAGGTTTTCAGGCTTATCACTCTAAGGGTTCATGCACCCAAATGGTATATACTTGGCTGTTCAGTAACGCAGTGGGAAAAAGTATATACATATACATTTTGAGGCTTCTGATTTTTTAATAGGAACCCAGAAACCTGAAAGCAAAAAAGTGTACCACTGAACAGCTTGGTATACTTGGTCCTGAAGTAGTTCCTATATAGGTACTTTGGAGCCAAAGTATATACTATTTGGGTACATGGACCCTTAGGGTAACAGTCGAGTTAGGGGCACCCCATGACACCTACTTGGAAGGGCAGGGGACTTAGTAGGTTATAAGTAGAGATATAAGTACCCTAAATGGAGTTACCCCCAATTATTATAACCCTACTTATAACCTACTTACTAAGTCCCTAAACCCTAAAAAGGCCTCTCTTTTTGGTATTGGGTAACTTTATAAGGAGCCTAGGACTACAAAAAGGGAATAAGGGTACTACTGGGCATCCTAGAATACCCCCTAAGTAAAGAATAGGGTTTAGGGTTTAGGGGCTCTTTTAAAGGGATCTAGACGGGTGCCCTTGTAAGGGATCTAAGGGTCCACTGGGCATCCTAGACATACATCAGGTTGAAAAATCAATAGCCTTCTGTCCGAAACACCCTCTCGAAAAGCTTTAGGGTTTAGGGGTTAGGGGTTTCGGGTTTGGGGTTTAGGGTTTAGGGGTTTAGGGTTTAGGGGTTTAGGGTTTAGGGTTTAGGGTCTAGGGTTTAGGGTTTAGGGTTTAGGGTTCGGTATGGTCCGTTTCCAGGTTCTCCTCATCGGTCCAGCACCTAAACCTTTCTACTTCTCCTCATCGATCCACCTAAACTCCCCACCTTCGGTTGTCTATGACTGTTACTCTTGGTATTACTATTACTATTACAAGGACTATTACTATTACGATTACGATTAGGATTGCTATGGATCCCCCTCAATGCTCCTGGAGTTTGAAACCCCCCCCCCCCCCCCCTGTTGACCCGCCCCCTCTTAATCCTCCTGGATGTTGTGGACGGTTTTAGACTCTTGAGACGGTACACAGGGGCGGGGGGGGGGGGTGCTTGTAGAACCCAAACCCTCAACACCACACTCTAAACCCTGAACCCTGAGTGCGAAATCTTGCACCGGGTACTTGGAGGTTCATGGGACCTGGTAACTAGGGTTATAAACAAGGTAACTACGCTCATCAGTACTTATAACCCCAGATAACGTACTTATATCTGTACTTAACTTACTAAGTCCCTTGAACCGCCAAGTAGACCCTAAACCCTAAACCCTATAGACCCCTTTAAGGAACCCTATAGATCCCTTTAAGGAGCCTTTTAAGGAGCCCCTTACTAAGTCCCATGAACCTCCAAGTATTTCCCTCTTATGAGTGCTGGAAAAGAGCACAGAGGCCTCCGTGGGCTTAGCCTTTGTCAAAGGGGAAAAGAAGGGACCCTTAATGGGGACCCCTACCCTATAATGGGCTATATCATGGTCATATAGTAGCTATATTAAGGGTATATACCTAGGGGTCCTTATGAAGGGTCCCTCCTTTTAACCTTGGACTTTGGATGCAATGAGCTTGAGCAATACAGCGACCTTCATGTTGAAGTACGGGTGTCACGGCTTAGGGTCCAAGCTCTAAACCCTCTACTTAAAGGATCATGGGACTTAGTAATTGGGGTTATAATTAGGATAACTACAGTTATAATTACTTATAACCCCACTTAAGGTACTTATAACCTTACTTACTAAGTCCCATGATCCTCAAAGTAGATTCCCAGACTTCTAGAACCATAGACAGAAACTGGAGCCTTGAACACCCGACATTTCAAAACTTCTAAAATCCTCAACGAATGAAGCGCACCAAAATAGCCTTAAAACGCTGAAATTCGAAACCCCAAACTAAAAATCCTAAACCCTAAACCGTCAATCCTAAACCCTAAATCCTAAACCCAAAAAAGCGCCTCGCAGATTCCGCGGCGAACCACGGCGATGCAATTTTGACGAGCCAGGGTTGAGTCAAGCTCCACCCTGCGAGATGGAGGGTGTCCCTTTCTAGAAGGGGTCTTCAGGGGCTACTATAAGGGACACTATAAGGGCTCTATAGTATAGAGGCTCCACCCTGAAGGATCTATAGAAGCTCCTTTAAGGGATGGCTGCTATAAGGGATACTATAGGGGTTTGGGGCTTAGGGCTTTAGGGTTGAGGGTTTAGGGGTTTAGCGGTTTAGAGTTTAGGGTTTTAGTAAAGGGGCTTATATGGTTCCTTCAAGGGCTTCTATAAGGTTTAAGGTTTTAGGTAGGTTTTTATTTTAAAAGGGGATCTATAGGGGTTTACAGGGTTCCTTTAAAGGGATCTATAGACGCTCCTTTGAAGGATGGAGGGTGTCCCTTTTAGAAGGGGTCTTCAGGGGCTACTATAAGGGACACTATAAGGGTCTGTGGCATGGACCTTTAGGGTCTATTTGGCAATCCGGCTTTGTTCAAGGTTTAGGCGAAGGTTCAACCAAGACAACGACGACCACGACGACCACGACGACGACGACCACGACGAGGACGACGAGGACAGCGATGACGACGACAACCACCCAAGCAGCTCACGTTTTGAAACCCACTCCCTCAGTCAAGTGAAAACGCTAGTGCTCGTGCTGCTACGGCTCTCGGTGCTTAAAGCTGTGGCTGTTGGTGCTGCTTTACGCTGGTGCTAGTGCTGGTGCTGGTGCTCGTGCTGAGGCTGGTGCTAGTGCTGGTGCTGGTGCTCGTGCTGAGGCCGGTGCTCGTGCTGGTGCTGGTGCTGTGCTTTGTGTTGCTGCTGACGCCGTCACATCAGGTCTTCGAGGTCGTCCATGTCGAGCATGCTCGCCTCCTGGCGGTGTTTGTTTCGGAGTTTAAGGAAAGTTTGCAGGCGCAAGGTGCCTCCACCCGTTTTCGGAGCTCATCCTCGTTGAAGAATCCATCGCCATCCTGCGAGGATTTGGGATGTGAGAAAATGTTTAGGAGTTAGGGACGAAGGAAAGCTGCCTTCACGGGCTCTTGCAGCTCATCGTCGTTGAAGAATCCATCGCCATCCTGCGAGGATTTGGGATCTGAGAAAATGTTTGAAGTTAGGGACGAAAGAAGATGCCTTCACCGGCTCTTGCAGCTCTTCGTCGTTGGGGAATCCATCGCCATCCTGCGAGGATTTGGGATGTGAGAAAATGTTTGAAGTTAGGGACGAAGGAAAGCTGCCTTCACCTGCTTTTGCAGCTCATGGTCGTTGGGCACCCCATCGCCATCCTGCGAGGATTTGGGATCTGAGAAAATGTTTGTAGTTAGGGACGAAGGAAAGCTGCCTTCACCGGCTCTTGCAGCTCATGGTCGTTGGGCACCCCATCGCCATCCTGCGAGGATTTGGGATCTGAGAAAATGTTTAAGAGTTCGGGTACCCAAGACAGCTGCCTCCATCTCTCGCAGATCATCATCCCAGCTCGGGATCAAATCGCCATCCTGCGAGGATTTGGGATCTGAGAAAATGTTTAAGAGTTGAGGCAAGGGCAGCTGCCTGCACCTCGCTGGGGAGCGCAGAGCCATCCTCCGTCGGCTCCTGCGAGAATGCTTTCTGGAATGGAGCATTTGATTCTTGTTTTCGCTGAGCTGCCAACCCATCCTGGCGGTGGATGATCAGGCTCCACCTCAACTTGCCATCTTCGAAAAATTAGGATGGAGGTAGAGAGACGATCAAGGACCGAGCCGGTACCGAGCGGCCAGCGGTCAGGACAAAGACCTGATGCTTAGCCAGCATAGCTGTGGATTGTTCTTGTCTTTGTCACACTCTCGCTGTGTTTCTCTCTCCTCGGTCCGGCACTGTGGGTGTCAGCGGAGCAGGAACCTGCGGAAGCAGTTCCAAGCTAACTCCCTGTGCTGTGAGGGAATTGAGGTGCCCACGGGAAGCCCTTTCGCGAAGGCAGCAGGGACCTTGGAAGCAACATTGCTTACGTGGAAAATGCAAGGTGTGGTGCGCTGGGGGTATGGCGCCCGTCAGCCACTTGCTGCGCACCTGCTCAGTACAAAATTACTTCACCGGAAAAATGGAGGACGCAGCGTGGCGAGCAACTGGACGGCTGAGATGACGACAGCCTTTCTGCTTTTCGGTCGAGCCTCACTTGAACTGGAATCGTTCATGGATTTGGTGGCCACTAACTAGGACGGTTGAGATCACGACGGCCTTGTCGAGTTTGGCCAGAGTGCCTCTTGGCACAGTCCGAGCCTCAATTCAACTGGAATTGTCATTGTTCGCAGCGAGTGAGGCTACTTGGCCACTTGCCTTTCCGACCGTCTGAACGGCCACGTCCATGGCCTGAATTTCAGGTGTCAATAAAACTCGTCTTTTCGCAGTCTCGTGTTTGAGCGTCAGACGCCAAGAGCCTCAAGTGAACAGCTGTCTTAAGACTCGTCTTTTCGCAGTCTCGTGTCTGAGCGTTAGACAAGAAGTCTGCCCAGCGCTTCAAGTGAACAGCTTTGCGCAGTAATTCGAAAGCCTCTTCGCGTGCTTTGCTGGGTGTCGAACGTGCACCCACCCAGAGAAGCTTCAAGGGAAAGAAATGAGCCATGAAATGGCACGCGGGCGCGCCAAAGTTGCATTCACCGAATCAGGCTGCACAGCTTGGTGGCGATGCTTTGCAGAGACGTACTCAGCTAACCGATTCAATGCTTTCCTGTGTGTACAGTTTCCTCTCTCAGGAAGTAATTATACTGATACGCATACTGCAGCTGCCTCCTCTCTCTCATGTTTTCTTTCTCCCGTTAAAAGAGAGTCTCAGAAACGACGACCCCAGCGTCAAAATGGAAACAAGTTATTGGCTCGATTATAAAGCCGGAAACGGATATTTCGACTGCTGCTCTCCAATGTCCCAGAGATTCGTCGCTGAACTTTGCCCAGCTTGAGAATGGATAAGTTATTGGCTTGATTATGAAGCCGAACATGAATATTTCGACTGCTGCTTTCAGTCTCCCAGAGATTGGTCGCTGAACTTTGCCGCTCTTTCAATCGTCCTTGCTCATACTCCGGGTCACTGCTGCCCCATCCCACTCCAGGGGACCCAGCAACAGCTTCCCTCCATGATCTGAGCTCCTCCAATCGTCCTTGCTCATACTCCGGGTCACTGCTGCCCCATCCCACTCCAGGGGACCCAGCAACAGCTTCCCTCCGTGATCTGAGCTCCTCCAATCGTCCTTGCTCATACTCCGGGTCACTGCTGCCCCATCCCACTCCAGGGGACCCAGCAACAGCTTCCCTCCGTGATCTGAGCTCCTCCAATCGTCCTTGCTCATACTCCGGGTCACTGCTGCCACATCCCACTCCAGGGGACCCAGCAACAGCTTCCCTCCGTGATCTGAGCTCTTCCAATCGTCCTTGCTCATACTCCGGGTCACTGCTGCCTCATCCCACTCCAGGGGGCCCAGCAACAGCTTTCTTCCGTGATCTGAGCTTTCCTCGTGATCCGAACAGCAGTACTGTCCAATAACAGTAGCAGCACTTCCGCGCTGTTAGGCAACGCTCCACATCCACACTCAGAAGGGTCTTTCGGGCAGGCCGGGTTACAACAGCGGCTTGGCTGCTGTTCTCAGTGCCCAGGCAGACTATAGCGTTCTGCTTATCATACTCACGATTCCTAGAGCTTCCCGACCCAAGGTCATGCGGTATCGTGGTTTAGGTTGAATTGAAACAAAGACACTAAGATACTTATTTTGAATTAGTTATAAAACAGATATTAGGTACCCCCGGCAAGAGGCAAGCAATAGCCCATGTTCGGGTGTGGCTTCTTGATCGGTCTACTGATTGGTTTGCCGTGGGTTTAGGGTTCTGTTCTCAAGGACAACAAGATGCAGTGTGCAGCACGATACTCCCGTCAGGGTACAGCTCTACTCTGGCATTCGGCTCAACATATAAAATGATACAATAATAAAGCTAGTATCAATATAATGTGCTTGATGGGAAGATAATATAACACAATATGTGATACTGTGAAGCTTTTATGCAGTATATAACAAAATATCATACAAAATAAGATGTTGTATTATGCTAATACATATGTACATACACACACGCATATATATATATATATATATATATATATATGCGTGTGTATTACGTACATACGTGCCTGCATCTATGGATTGAGTACTGCCCCTACGAACACACACACACACAAAAATGTTTGAAACATGTATTACAGTGTAGATATAGACGCAGGGGCAGTTCACAATCCATATTGTAATAACATGTGTAATCGTCGATGACCTTTACGCTCTATATTACAAGCGCTGGGCTTAAGTCGACCCAGGTTGTGTGAAGTCGGCCTTCCCCAAGCTCACGCCCAGATTCGTGCGAAGTCGACCCATCCGGACAAAGTCGACCCACAGACCGGGATCCGCAACTGCACGCCGGTTATAAACGAGACAGCCCGACATGTCAAATCTGCGCGTGGCACGAGACTCTTCGCACAAAGTGAAGCAAACGTGCACTGAAACAAACGGAAACTGCAGGTGCACGCCCCGTTCTAGTGGGAGCTATCCAAGCCTCGAAACGAGCGGAAACTGCATGTACACGCTGGGTTTCACGGAGCTTTGTTCTGATCATGGTTGCAAACCGTGCCCCTCGCTACTGTTTGCATCCTTCGGGTGTGCACAGGTGGGTGTTCACGGCTGACGGTGTGTAAACTACTCCCGAGCTTGTATGCGGAATCCCCATTTACACGCTCGCACGAGACGACTTTTGAGAAACACATCCATGCAAATCAGGAATAGGGCTTGGCGTTTTCGTTAGGTTTTCAATGTCGCCACACAACATGCTCCCACACTTTACTTCGGAATCCCCATGTGCTTGCCGGGTTAAGATGACTTCCAGCTACATGTTCTTAAGAGCTTGTGTGCGCTAGCCCCATGTGCACGCTCGTGCGAGACGACTTTACACAAGATGGGGCGACTTAAGCCTACTACTAGTAGCTGGCATGACAATCAAGGCAACGTCCCGAAACCATTTCTAACGGTGGCGTAGTCTGCGCTCTTCGGACTTACTTCGGAGTCTGCTCGATGTGTTCGCATTTCTTGCAGAAGTGTCTTTCGCAGTCTAGAGGACCGACCGTTTTCCCGGTCGTGTTCTCGCAGACCGAAAGCAGAGGAAGATAAGTAAGTAAACACCCTATCGGGCTAGGGAGGGCGGGAAAAGAAAATTTTCAAGATACCAATCTTATACCAAAATGGCCACGGACATACACATGTTCGTGGAGATCGACAGCCGTAGATCCTCGAGTGTCGATCGGTGTGAGCATGAAAGCAAGGAGTTGTCACTTCGCACACCCGTGTGCTACACACCGTAGACACAAGGAATGTCCACAATCTATATCGTAATAACATGTCCAAACATCTATGCTGCATTTTAGCTGGCATGAAAACCAAGACAACGTTCCGAAACCATTTGCGAAACTCATCCTTTTTCCGCCCGGCCCCTACTCTCGACGCTGGTTACGGCAGAAGATAAAATTCTTTCAGTGAGGCAACGCCTGCCGTCAATCGTCAGGCACGACCGGCACTCTTCCGCGCACTCCGGCCCTGCGCAAACTGTCCTGTCTGCATAGAGTAGTTGGAGTGCGCCTACTGACACTCTTATACGCATCAGTATTTGCAGGACGTTTTAAACGCATCTGCTTCACTTTATGCCGCTGTTTCTCGCGGTCATTATGCAAGGTCAGGTCTGCCTTGCATTTCATACGCAGATCCTCTAGTTCTGAACACCAACTCGACCACTCGCCATCGGTCCACAGATGCCGACTTGCTGTACGTGCAAGCAGCTCGGCTTCAGGCATCTGACGTGTGGTCGGCTTATACATGGCAGAGTTATGTGTCAGAACCTTTGCTAGCTGCATTATTTCAAGCTTCAGCGTCAACGTGGCCTTATGAAGTTTCTGCGTCTCCCGAAACCAATTATTGATTTCGTGATGGAGCGCTTCATTGCTGCTTGTGCCAATGGGCATCATCGACAGCCGCTCCGCTGAAAGCAGGTGCCGCATGATGAGATTGTTGAAATACCAACCTGATCTGTTCGGCGCCGAAGCTGTGTGCAGCAACTGGTAGATCTTCCTGTTCGGGCCCGGAGCGAGTCTGTCCATCTCGCTGCGATGAACGGATGCCAACGCCGCGAGAGCTTGAATCCAGTCCAAGCGTAGCAGAAACGGCTTCGCAGGATCCAGGTTCTGCAAAATGCTTTCTGCCTGCACCTTACGCATGCTCTTGTCTTCAATCTGATTGCGAGCCTTTTCTTCTTCACGGGTAAGAGGTTTGGCGTTACTGCCGGTGAAGACAGGCCCCCATGTAGCAGCCGAAAGATTGTCGCGCGCAGTAAGTTTGCGGAGGATCAAACGCAAACATTTGGTTGCCGCCGTGCGTTTTCTGCTTGATGCATACTCGCATGTCATGGCAAGGTGCGTTGGATCGAGTGCCAGCAGCTGCAGATTTGGACAGATAGTTTTCGCCTCCCGGAAAAGCTTCTGTGACGGGTTGTCCACTGAGAGAAACTGAATCTGAGCCAGGGCTTTCGGATGTAAGTGCTCAGCAAGAGTTTGCACCAGCACGTCAGTTTCATCCGAGGAGGTTGCTTGCAGTAGCACCACGGCGTTGCTGCGGCCACGGCAGGTAAGCACCTCGGCCCACGTTTCTCTCTATCGAAGATGGTTCTTTCGAACTATGTCTGTTTGTCAAAAAAGAAAGGTACTACGATAACCAAAATCAGGATGCTCGAGTCAAGGCCTCGTCCCCAACGAAAACTGCCGAGTCCTTCACTTCCCTCCGAGCTCTGGGATGCGCCTGTCCCATAAGCGAAAGACAGCAGCGAAGCGTTGCATCCATGCTGAGGACTTGGAACTCTTCATGGAACAGCATTTCGTCCAGCAAGTGAGACTTAAGCTCCTTCGGCTTCTTTGACATAAAAACATCTTCCACGATCGGCCACCAGTGCTTGCTGTGACGCGGCAACAAACTGCAAGTCTCTGGCGAAAACAGCGTCATCATGCGTGCATGAAACGCATAGACCTGACGGGATGCTAGACAATATATACGAACACGCGTCCGCGTATATATACGAACACGCATCCGCGCAAAATCTCTATGCAGACGACAAAAACTTGCATCATGCTGCGGCCTAGAAACCTTGGCTTTACAAATAAGCATCTCTCGGTAAAGGATTTGACCAAAGCCATGTGTGTAGTATAAATTTCGAACTCGTCGCAAAGGTTGCTGCTGCACTGCCAAAACATTCCAGAATTCAGGGCCTTGTGCTGTGAGTACGAGTCTCAGCTCACGATCCACCAACACATGCTTCGAGGATAGTGGCGGAGTGACGGTGTTCCGTAGAATTCGGCTGCTCCGATAAAGGTAGTTGCCTCGATCACGACCCTGACATTGGTCGTAGTCATGAAGAGCAATGATCAGCTTCAATTGCTTTGTGCCACTTGGAACAAACTGTTTTCTCGGTGAGTGATAGAGACGCACATGTTCCAGAACTCGTGCCTTCTTGCTGATCGGCCACGATCGGAACGGACAGAAGGGACAACGAGCAGTCTGTTTTTTCTTGCCACGTCGTCGAAGGCAGCCGTTCAGGTGCTTCTGAACTTCATCCTTCAAATATTGCAGTAACTCATCACCAACTTGGGTAATGCTCTCGTCGGCCAAGGACGCATCATCGTCATCTTCGTCGGCATTTTCTTGAACGTCCAAGTCATAAACGAAGCGATCCTCAAGATCTTCCTCGCTTCCACCTGCCATACTTTCCAACAGACTTTCATAATCATCGTCTAGTGCATCGCCTGCATTTTTACCTGGCTTTTGCTGCAGATGGAAAAACAAGATGTACTTGCGGTCACTGGCTGCCGATAACATATGCAGGAGATGTTGCGCAGAACAGTTGTAGCTGACCTTCACGTCTGTAATGCGTACTTGAGTACCTGTTAGCATTTCCAAAGCCACACAGTGTGGATTCCCGTCGTAGGCAATGTGAAGCAAAACCTTTTGCCCAGACTTGAGAACGCTTGGTTGTATTCGGGGATAGATCGAGAGCTCCAGCTTCTCGGCAACGTCTACATACTTTCGTTGCCGGCGTCTGCGGAAAAACGCGTGTTCGGGCCCTTCGGTCATCGAGGCCATAGAGAGTGCCGACTCCTGCAAACCAAGGTGATACAGAGCTGCCAGTATGCAGTTTCCAGTTTCACAAAGAATTTCAGGACACTCAACTGCTGCACTGTCGGTAATGTTCTTCAAGAAGCCACTGAAACTGTGATGCTCTTTTTCTCGAATTGTGACAAGCAGGTCTGTAGCGTTGTAGATGGCTTCGGCACAGCTCTGACAAAAGGAGTTTACGTCACCGTGGGCAACGGAGCGATCCAGTCTGATGCCGTCAAAGTGAAGCGAGAGATGCTTGCTTCCCAGAGGAATCACTTTCCCAAGCCAGGCTTCCAGCACTACATCCTCTGCAACGTTCCAGAAATAGGTAAGAACCGAGACATCTGGTCTGTCTTTGGAGCGCAAAAGACTTGTCCAAACCAAATCCTTCAGCGTTGAGGCGGCGACCCAGCGACAGAACAACGATGCTCGCTGCAGCTCCTGTATAAACTCATTCTCTGCGAGCTCGTCGGGAGGCACACCGCCATTGAGTACCTTCTGCATAAGGAGTTTGCCTTCCGATAAACTCAACTTGAGCTTCTTCTCAATGATCTCTTTTCGCTGTTCACTGCAAGCACGTAGTGTGTTTTTGACCTGTGGCCAAGCTTGGTGTTGCGGCTTCAACTTTGTCATAATCTGATACAGCAGCGCGAAGGAGCAGTTCTCAATGTCCAGGTCCATGGTCTCGTGCAGCGCAACAGCCTGCCATGCTGTGCCCAGATTCTGTACTGAAAAGCGATCTCCGTATCTGCGAGAACGCAAGCCATCTAACTTGTACTTGTACGGCACATCAATACCAACGAAACCTGAGTCCTTCTGGAAAGGGTTTCCAGATACAATATTGCTTTCAGATGCAGGTGCATCTTCAACTTCGGCAGTCGCTGGCATTTTCTTGCGACGGCGTCGAGAAGGCGTAGTTGCTAACTGTTGTGACGCTGGTTGTGAACTAGCAACAGCAGAGATTTGATTCTCTAGCTTTTCCAGTACAGCGCGGGCACAGTCTTCGTGCTTGCTCAATTTCTCCGACAAGGAACGCCAGACGGCAATAATGTCATGCTGGTGCTGGGACTTGCGACCTTTGCCAGACTCTAACTTTTTCAAGACCTGTGTGTAGAACTGCTGCAGCACCTCAGCATTCGCACCGCGGCCCGGGTTGCCTTCAACCGCTTCCCACAGCTTGCTGGCATGGAGATGTTCCCGTATCCACGTAGTTTCGGAGTCGTATCCCACCTCGAAAATCTCGTCCAGAGACTTCGCACACGGTATCATGGGAATGAATGTTTCTGGCTCTGACTTTGTGTCAGCTGGAAGCAGAAGGTTTTCTTTGACCAAATCATCCAACGTTACTTCTTTAGGGTTGACACCCAGCTTGGGCTTAGAAAAGCGAGACCACCAGGGCTTCGTCATCGTGGCCTTTTTCGTGGTCAACAAAAACTTCGTTAGAGCCACGTGTGCTTTTGCCAAAGGTGTGGCCTCTTGATCCGCAGACTCGTCAGCCTCGTCATCGTTGTGCTTGAGGATGGCCACGAGGGCGGTCTGCTCCTTTTCGACCGTGGGCTCCTGCGCGCATCAGCCAGTGCTGCCGAGTAATGAAATGAGTATGTTTCCTTTAAAAAACAATCTTGCTTTAACATGTGCAACTAATCTGGACGAGTGAAAAATCAAACCAGCGTCCTCCGGTGGACGCAAACCACATGCCGCTCTCACCTTGCGCTCGGTGAGTCCACTCATGGCATAATCCTCGATTGTTTTAATGCACTGCTGTCTTGAGAAGTGCGATTCAAAGCCATGCTGCTGCACGATGGCAGCAGCAATGGCAGGACCGCTTTCAAGGAAGCTGCGTAGAGTAGGATCCTTTTGGAAGATCCCGTCGGCCTGCGGGTCAGGGTAGCCATCTCCAAATGCGGTGTCGTCAACGAAAATGGGCTTCGGGTTCCAGACCAGGCAGCGTCTGTATATAGAGTTGAAGTTCTTCTCCATAACATTCTTGAATGACATGATCTTGTTGGTTTCAAACCTTTTGAAACCGCTAACTCTCATCATTTTCGTCACATAACCATATGGCTTCCGACCTGCCAACTCGTCGGCCGACATAAATTTCTTATACAGATCTTGCTGGAAATGTCGGTTCGTTTCGGGAGCTTCTTGCGCGGTAACTATGGAACAGTGCGCAAACTGTTCCAGTCTCTTGCGAAGCTCTTCCTCCTTGTAGAAGATGTTGGGATCGATGAACTGATGGTTATGCGCATAAACCGCCGCAAGATGACAACTAAACAACGACTGCCCCGTGCCCCCTGACGATTCGCCAATGAAGCAGCGATCAATGTTTTCGCCTCGCTTGGCCAAAGCAATGGCTGCCAGTGTGCACTTGTAAAACTCCTGATTGCACCAGAATGTTTCCTTCACGAACTTCTGTAATCTCTCACTGGCAGCCTTCAGAACTGCATCAGGTAGTGACTGCCTCAAAGGAAAAGGAATTCTGATGTACAGATTATTCTCTGGCGACGACGTGACAATCTTCGCGTGCTCTTCTGGCGTCGTGTCATACATCACAGAGACATCTTGATACGCGCACCCAGATTGCCGCTGCGAGGGAGTATCACACCACTGGATCACGAACTGTAGCAGACGTCCTTAGCTCCATGTCGTCACATCATAGAGAAAGCATGATGTGACGATGTACTCTTACACTTGTTCATGTAGCCACAATCACATATAACATTTTATAAAGCGGTGACATCTAGAGTCTTTCTTCAAGCAAGTCTTTCTGGAGCGGCGAAATAACCTTAGCGAGCATGTAGGCAACCTTTTCCGGCCAGCCAGAATTGGGAGAGACTTCACCTTCTTGTTCATTTCGACCTTTCCGGCGTACTCCTCCCATATCCGCCATGACAGCGGCATCTTCGCAGGCGGCTAAAAACTCCTCATCGTGATTGTAAGATGACAGAAGTTTAGCGATTTCTTGCACGATGCCCGAGTCGCTGCGCTCTGTACCAGGCAACATGAGTCGAAATGCGCCTTCCAATCTCAACAAAAATTTCTTCAACCTGTAGAACGTTGACTCTGGAGGAACACCATTGTATGGCTCGAATGCTCCGTCGTTGTGATACAAATAGCAAACTCCTTGGTGTGTGCGTATGTATCTGTCGCCCTCAATGATCCAGATGAGACTGACAAAATCACGGACGAAGATGTCTGTCAGGCGAGTTCTGTAGACACTGATTGCAGCGGCTGCCAAACGAACCATGTCCTCTGACCGGTCGACTGCTTCCTGCGTACGTAACCAAGTAGTCGTATAGCGTGTTCTTTCACGGTTGTGGCTGGTTGCTGGTCGTCAGCATCAGGACAGGAGGCCAAAGAATTGCGGCAGGCCTGTTTTGTTATGTCGAACAGCTCATCGAATGCACTGCTGGATGTTGATGCTCCCGGCATCAAACGTCTTCTTTTGGCAGACTCGACCGCCTCCATAGGAAGGCCCCGACAAGGTATAGCTAAGGCTGTGCAGTCCATGGCTTCCTGTTCGTTTGCAGCTTCCACATCCAGAGACGGGTCCGCTGCTTCTACTGCCGGATTTGGTGCGTTGGCCGCCAGCTCCTCTTCGTCCAAGACACGCTCTGCCTCAGCAATGTCGGCATCGATGGCTGCGAAGAACGAAGACTGCGAAGCCATGCCCTCAGCTGGATCAGCCCCTCCGGACACCTCTTGCCAGTGCAAGTCTGAGGTGTTTCCATATGCCGCCAACATCGCGGAAACTTCATTGGTGAGATTCGGTACCAAGTCCAAGAAAGGGCCAGTGTTTGCGTTGTCGGGATGCAAACACACCACGTACATTGCGGAAACAGTGTACCCGTAATACCTTTCCAAAATGTGTTTGTAAAGGTTGAGCTGGAGGCGGTAGTGCCATCCAGCACAATCAGGAAGATGACCCAAAGGTCCTTGCATACGTCGCCAAGGGTTGTCATACTTGGAATGCAGCATTTTGGTTCTTTTCCAGTCAAACAAAACAAGACTGTCATCGAATGATTTAGCCACGAAATCGATGCATCCGGCTAGGCGGTGTTCCTCAGCAAATATACACCATTCCGTCCGAAACGCCAGCGAAGGACACGGGAACTCTCTGACGAACTGTTCAAACAAAGTCAGTTCTGGCCAGACGCCGGCAACAAAGCCGCCGTTTAACAAGACTTCTATCTGAAGGTGCATCCATGTACCCTGGTGAGCCGCCTCTGCGGCATTCCGAGCCCACATCTTTTTGATTTCATCGGGAGTTAGTGGAATCAGCACGCCATTGTCTTGCGCCCTGGAATACTCAGGTCGTGGCCACCGTGCACTCTTTGCCATATTGGCGATTGCCGCATCCGCGTCGAACCTTTCCGCGAATCTGTGAACCAGGCCGGTCACGGACGTCTTCATAGCAACACCATCCACATAGTAGACGTGGGTCTCGGACACAAACTGAATTCGGTTGTCCCGCTCGTGCTTTTGAAGACCACACAAAAGGCTGCAATCAGGCTGCACATTTGGCAAATGTGTGAAATCAGCCGGCACAGACAGCAGCAATAACGAAGACGCACGATTGCAGACCTCAATGGGGATGCGAATGTTCGACGTCCTTGGTCCGTACGTAGGACAACATGCAGGACTGAGACCCGACAGCCATTGCCTCTGGAACAACGTTTGCTGCACTTGTCTTCCATCGGCCCTGCGTTTTTTCTCTTGTCGACGGATTGCTTCGGATCGCTGGAAGCTCAAACGAAGCCACGCAGTAAAGGTCATGCCGTTCTGCAGTTTCTGCTCTCTGCTGTAGACGTAGTCCACAGCATGCCGGAAAGGCTCTTCCGTTTCAGTACTTCCACCGACGTAATCAATCAACTGGTTCGGACATCGTGGGCACAGTCGTTCAGGAAAGTGCACAGCATGAACCGAACAAACCCATGTGTCGCAATGTGGACAGACACACCAGCGCGGCAGATGCAGCCCGTGGTCCCTGTTGCAAAGCACGCACTTGATTGTGGCGTTGTTGTCGACAAGAGATGGTATTGGGCGATACTGAAGCAAGACAAAGTTCCTGGTAGGCCGGCCATAGACCCAAACAAAAAGCTTTGCCAAAGCACATGGCGCAGCTGAAGCTCCTTCACGAGCGCGGGCTGTAGCGATGTTCACGCCATCCAGCGAAATCTGGAACGTTCTCGGATTCCAACGGAAGATGATGCGATGGGTGTGGTCGGGTTGAAACCGAATTGTTCGGGCACTCAAGTGTGGTTGAGATGGATGATCTCCCAATCCAAAGGAGGCCCGCGCATTCTCAAAAATATTCGTGAACATGCAGTAGGCATGCGTCCGAGAACGCAAATCGCACCAGTCTCGGACCCCAATATATATGCCAACTGTGTTGGGCGGCAGAATGATATCAAATACAGCATTTCCCATCAAAGGACCAGTTGACTGAAACCCTGTCCCTGTCATGTTTGGCCCAACTGCAGGACGAGGGCCGCCCAACATGCCTGTCGCGCTCCAGTCCAAAAGCATATTGTGAGGAAAAACTGTAAACATGGTGAGCTGACGAACGTTGATGGTGACGACATGTGCAGACATGTAAGCTTCCATCATCCATCTCAGCTTCATGGGAAGTTGAAATTCTTCAGTGTTCATTGTCACAAGCTTGCCTTGCCAGTGTCGACGATCCCGCACGGCGCGAAGCATTGTCTTGGAAGTGGACGCTAGCATCTTGAGATAGTCAAACGAAAAGTAAAATCCTGGCAATTCCGCGAGCAGCTCATCCAACACGGCGCCTCCTTCGTACTCCTCCACTTTGCATCTCATGTCCACTCGACCTGAGGGCTTTACACAACCTGATCAGATACTATTTGAAAAGCTTAAAAGCACGGCAACTTCCACACTCCGCGAAGCTTTCACGTAACAGCACATATCAGCCAAGCAACACACAGGCATGCTGCAATGGTTCTGGGAATCTTCACCACCCACGTAGTCCCATAGTTGATTGAAGCAGCGTGGACACATGTCTGTTGGGTTTTGGAGTACGTGCGATGCACAGATCCATGTGCAGCAGTTGGGACACACGCGCCACCTGGGTAGGCAAAGATCATGATCTCTGTGGCAAAGAAGACAAGTAATGGAAGCATTGTGCTGAATGGGAGATGGCAGAGGACGATACCGAACCTCCTGCCCTATATTCGTCGTGTCAGGCCGAACGTACACCCACAAAAAAAACTTGGCCAGTGGACTTGGCAGTGCCGGTGAACCTTCCCTAGGTCGGATTCTGGTTACTCCGACCCCATCGATAAGGAGCTCCATCACGTCTTGCTTCCATCGAAGCAAAACGCGATGATGCCGCTCAGGTTGCAGAGGCACTCTTTGTGGCTTGTGGTGAAGCTGCGGTGGCTGGTCGCCCGAAGCGAAGGAAAGTCTTTGACTGTCCGTGTAAACATTATCGAAGCGGAAGAACGATTGCTTCCCTTGGCTTCGATCTCCCCAGTCACGAACGCCAATGTACATGCCCACTGCATTGGGGGGGAGGATTACGTCGAACAAGGCAGTGCCCAGCAACGGTCCAGCGGATTCGAAGCCTTTCAGGTTGCGCAGTTGTGGAAGGCCCCGGCCAGTCCACTCGAGCAACATACTGTTTGGAAACTGACCTAGCAAAGGAAGTTGTTGCAGATCTAAAGACACGGTGCGAGCGGACATATAGGCCCGCGTCATGGATCTCAGCTTCAGACCATCAGTAAACTCGACTGAGTTGAGTGAGATGCACCTGTCGTTCCAATGCTGTGGGTTCTGCACGGCGCGTTTCATTTCAGAAGACGCACAGGCTAAATTCTTCAGATAGTCAAAGGAAAAGAAGAATCCTGGTAAGGCATGGAGGATGTCTGCCGAAAGGCTCCCTCCGGTGTAGTCGTCCTCGGAGCGAGACGCCTTCTTGAAATCGCCGCGCTCTTTCTGTTGCCAGGCTAAATCCAGGTGAAGCTGAAGAGCGTGCTCCAGTGCAAGCGTTCGCCACTCTTCTTCGGTGCCGCCGTACTCCTTCGGGTGTGGCAAGTCCTGCACAGCATTTCTGCAACCGGCCTTTACATGCTTGGCCTCTGCGTGCAGAAATGCAAAGAGCATGTAGTGCTGTTTCTGTTCCACGAAATCCAAGATTGCCCTGGCTCGGTACATGATGCGTTCCCAGAGTCTCTTCGATATCGAGTTTCGAAAACGAGGATCTGGTAAAAATGCCACAGCCAACGGCGACGTCCGCAAGAGATCCAAATGCTCTCGCATGACTTTCACAACCACTGCAACATGCTTGTCCGCTTCATGCTGAAAAAAGTCTGTTTGGCTATTGAAAAAATCCAAAGCACTTGGATAAGGTTCGTCACTTATCCAACTGCCGCCAGCATAGTCCAGCTGCTGTCCATCCACCAAGCCTGGTAGGACACCGCCGAAGTACTCCATTGTGATGCGCCGCCGAGAAATGGATGAGCTGGAAGCAAACTGCTCGAATGGAACGTTGTTGGTGGTCATGACTCTTCTGACAGGCAATAGACTATAGGCCTGGCGATGAACCAACTCGTTTTGCTGCAGCATCTCTCCTTAGTTCGATCAGAGCGACGCTTTGGTTTGATGCTTGCATGCATAGCTCCATCTAAGCACGAATATTAACACACTTCTACCACACGTACTACAAGTCGTGGCATCAAGGGTCGATTCTCTGATTGCTGTCTTCGAGCTCGAAAACGCTCGAGCCAGTCCGGGCGAAGATCCCAGAAGCCGTCCTCCTCGCTGTCGCTGTTGGAAACTAGATCTGGATTGTGATCATTCGCGATGCGCTGCGGCTGAGGATAACGCAAAATCACACCATCTGTTTCCTGCCGCTGAAGTTGGAGCTCGTTCCATGCTTCTTCAAAATCCGCGGCAGCTTCTACTAGATCTGGGTTGCGATCATTCGCGATGTGCTGCGGCTGAGGATGACGCAAAATCACACCATCCATTTCCTGCCGCTGGAGTTGAAGCTGGTTCCACACTTCTTCAAAATCCACGGCAGCTTCTTGGACAAGTTTGCCACCTGAGTAGTCTGCAACCAAAGCTGGCTCGACATGGTCAACAAGCTCGAACACATGGTCGAGTCGGGTGTTGTCGACACATAGTTTGCCGGTGGCAGGGTGGCGTCGAACGGCACGGTCTTGACGCTTGAGCTGGAAGGACTCAAACTCATGTGTGCGACCTCCCATGTTGATTAACACCTCATCCTCTTGGTGTCGAGCAGAAACAAAGTGATGCTCGTAGGCGAGGATGTACTTGCCCGGCTTCTGCAGAAGGTCATTCCAGGAGCTCGGTCTGATGCTCTTCCTTTGCTGATAGGGCAGGATTCAAGATCTCAATGCGTACTACTGCTTCGGCGCCCTGCTCTGATAAAGCTTCAAAGCAATAATGGTGCTTGCTGCAGCATTCTTATGCTTGGACGTTGTATTCAAAAAACAATATAATATAGTCGAGAAGCCTCAGCTTCTCCAGCCAGGCATTGCCTTGTCGGATACTGAAGGGGCCGTCCTCGAGGTAGGGCACCTTCGCCCCCAAGGATCGGAGGCTGTCGACCAGACAGCACTGCGTCCGCCGAGATGACTGCTGCGTTCCTTAAAAGGGCCACATGATCTATAACCGCTAGCTTAACTATGGCTGATTATTGTACAGCTTTAAGATCTCTAGGGTTGAAGATATCGCGTAGGGCCTTTCTAACATCGCCGTAGAACGAAGGCGTACAACACGAGCTCGTAAGTTATATATCTGTCAGGAAAAAGCTTGATTATGGTCAGAAGACGAGTGGCCCTTCTCGTCCTGGAAAAGCAGGTGGGAAAGCACGTGGCCGTACCTGTCATTTCAGCTGGGAATACAACGAAGCTTATAAGAGTATCTATAGGAAGATGTCTGCTTGAAAATTCATGCATTCCTCAGGCCTGTCCATGGGAGACGGACGAAAGACTTTGATCTTCTTCGGGCCAGACTTCCTGAACCAATGGCCAGTCCAGTTTTGAAAACTCTTTTCTGGACGATCGCCACAAGCGCACAAAACTGCAGCAAAACCTATGTGCGTGAGCTGCTTATTTATAAACAGTCCTGCTTGTAGCTGGCCGCGCAGTCGGCTGGCTGAGGGCCGCTCCAGCACTGCAACCTAGGTTTGCTGTCATCAAGTTCATTCGCGAAAACTAAAAACGATCCATGCGGTCAAGCTTCATCTCTGGAGCTCTGGCAAGATCTTGTACTTGAACCTACAAGTAAGGTTTCGCTTGCGGATCTGCCCAACCAAAGATCCAACGAAGGCGTCGCCTGCACGTCAACCAAAGGAATCAGTTATTATTTTCTTCATGACATATTGGCTCTCGAACGGAATACTGCTGCTGACAGGATGCTCCAGCCAGAAGCGTCGTGCACGTGGAGGCCACCATGTCCCCCGCCATCGAGCTTGCTTCCAAAGTGCACGTTGTAGCCTCACGCGTTTCATTTTTTGTTACTTTGGTTGAAAAGTCTTGCGTGAAACACTTAACTTAGCTTGTGGCATCTCAAAGAAGGAATATCCTCATCGCAGGTGGGCTCCAGCACGCTGGTGCTTGCGAGCCGATTGAAAATGGCCGTCATGAAGCACTTGCCTGCGCTGTCTTGTCGCAACAGCAAGCGGCGTGCCACAACGAAACAACGTAAATCAATCTGAAATGTCTGCGAGTGTCTCCAATCGTTCTGCTCATACAACCCCGAGCCCGTGGTGGTGATCCACTGACCCCTGTAGTAGAAGCCATGCTCCAGAATTGTCTCCTGACAGAACTTCATCTACAGAAACGAAAGACACAGTATCGTGAAACATCTTTCCTGCGTCTCTTCGCGCCGGTTTGTCAACGGCTCGACGTGATCTTCCTATGACGAGCTTGTGTCATACAACTGACATCACAAACGCAAGCACTCTTGAGTTCCTAGCATCCTCCTGAACATCAGTCTTCTCCTTCACTTCCCTTGGTTTCAAGCAAAATATTCTGATGGGCAAAATACATGATTAGAAGACTTCAGAATAAGGCCGGGGCCCAGCAGAAACGCTTGTCGGGCTTCGGGCGCTCAAGGGGTGCTTGTTTTTCGTCTTGTTGCCTCTCAAGATCTCTTTTCGCTTGTAGTATCCGAGATTGGCGGGGCCGGCGCCGAGGGTATAGTGCCATTCGACCGGGCCGTAGTTGAAGGATCCGCCCTTGTGGCGCCGGCTCTTGCCGCCAAAGGAAGGCTTCAAAACAAAGCCTTTGGTTTGCGGAGATTTTGATGGCGTGGAGAAGCAAAATGAAGGTGGCGGGTGCAAATCCGCCCACGGCGTGGTCGAGGTGCTGGACCGCACCGGATGAAGGCCTGACATCGAAGAGCACAACACAGAAAAAGTTGAACCTGATGAAACTTTCGTGTCAAGGCACCAACACCGAGACTGGAAGACACGTGCTTCTGCTTCTGAGTCTCGGGAGCACTACCTGAGAATTCAATCTTCAGAGCAGACTGGGAAAAGACAGTGCTGATTTTTGGGTGTTAGTTACTCGGCCACCAAGACACGGTGTCTGCCCACGACCGTCCAAGTGCTTTCGTCGGCAAGTCTCGTAGTTATGGATGAGATCAGCCGATCGCCTGGAAGTCCAAGATTTTTGACTCTAGATGTGGTGAACTACACTAGAACCATGCCACGTCACACCAAGATCGATTCTTCGTGGTCGAGCTCGGCAGGCTCGAGGGAACCGACCCTGCGATGACATAGTTTATGTACATCCGTGCGCATCTGCGTACTCCTTCAATGGAAACTCTTGTGCGACCCGGTTGCCATTAAAAAAGGTGTACGAATAGCTGTTCGGGAACAGCTCACCTCAAATTCTCGGACTAAGCTGTGCCCCGTGAAACTCTGCTGGCAGCGTGACATGGTTCTTTGGGTGCAGCCAGGATTCGCCAGCCTCCCAAAGAACGGCCGATGGCCGGTCCTGTCGTGCAGAAACCATTAGGTCGAGAACATGAACGATGACTTCTTACCCGCTTACACCTGCAGGAATCATTGCACTGCCAGAAAATTTTAGAATAAGATAGTTGCCTGACCGCGGCGCGTCGGTACAGGGCGCAAGTCCTGGGATTCCGTGGATATTTTCTAATTACTCCACAAAGTATATTAACTACATCCTGGGATCGTGTGCTGCTGAGGAGCCGGTGCTCATCTTGTAAAAGATTGAAACAGCGGTTGCCTTAATCCGCAAGCACAATACACGGCGTTTGCCGGATCGACTACAGATCTGCACAGCTGCTTGCGACCTCAGGGGCGATGGGATGGCGCACGAGTGTCGAATTGCTTGTTGCTCAAGCCGAAACTGCGGTGTCAGGATGGAGTCGCTTAGAATTTGACTGCGCTACAGAGCGGCGGAACTTCTTGCGCCATGAGTGGCATCGCGACAACGCAGGAATATGCGAGATGAAGTTTCCTCAGACCGAATCTACGGTGTCGGGGGCTTGGTCGCTTTCCCGTCCGGCCCTGCATGACAGCACACATCACACACCACTTCAAAAGCAAACCCTCCCACGCCGAGGTCCCGGCTTGAGGGGGGGTGTTGGCGAGCAATGTACAGTTGGCGTCTTTGTTTTTTGAATAATAATAAGATGTCGCCCTTCAAGTTTTAGGAATGCTAAAACCTGCTTGACAGCACCTGCGTTTTGCACGGTATTTACAGCACTTCCGCACTATCCGACCACCTGTGACTTCGCAGTTTCTTCCTCATTTGAGTTTGCAACTTCAGCTGCTGTCGCAATTCCGGGGCCTGAACCTCTACAACCCCAGACCTGTAATGAAACAGCAATCATGCAGCACACGCAAGCGGTTGCCATATAACGGCTTATAACATTATAACAAAAGAACACAGACACATGTTCGTATGAGGATGCAGCTTATAATGACGCTTGCTTATGGAGCGTCAAGCTAGACGTACAAAGAATCCAGCAGTCCTTTGCTGTGACGATACAGACCATGATGGCGTTTACAAAGGATTTAAACCACAAAGGGTCTTTCGTGTGTGATGATACAGACTGTAATGACACTCATCTGGCTGTTCACCACATCTGACAACACATGGTGTTGCATCATACAGTTTCATGTGTCACACACACGCCCCAGTGCTAAGCAAGTGTTGCTGCACTACTTTCTAGAATCTGGCAGTTTCAAAGTTGATTGTTATTTCAGCACCATGGCACAGCAGCTCTGTTTTTTTCGCGTGCGAAAAAAAGGCGATTGATCTTCTCATCGCATCAAAGCCGCATCAAGGGATCGCCGCCACCTGATTTGGAGCTAATTGCAAACAAGCCAAGGACTATAGTTCCCAGGTTGCGGGCACTCTTGCTTCCTGGCCCAGCATCTTGCGCACCAAAACCTTCGTCAGAAGTGGTTAGAGTGACTGCCGGCCGTAAGAACAATAAGCAACTCGCCTTGTCTGTGCCTGGAAAGGACGCCCCGGCATGCCCTGATTCACAACAAAGTCGAAGATCTGTAGAGATGTAGAGTCGTGTCTGTGCTGCACCTCCTGCATGCCCTCGGACACGCGACCCCATCGGTCGCACCGCTCGCACTGCGCGTGCAGATCTCTCCAATTGAGATTCATCCTGTCACAGAGACAAATAGAGACTGAGATTCCTGTAACAACTTACAAGTAACCCTTATGTTGAGATCCAAACCAAAGCGGCCATGTCTTGCAGCTCTCGATGGGGATTTCCTGTATTGATATTGAAAACACAATTTCCGACATACACTGCAACTCAATACCATGCCGCCGGTCCTTTGGCGCAGCCCACTTAACGGACTTGCTCTTCTTGAGAACTCCGGGAGTCTCAGTTTTGGTTGCGAGATGCACAAACATCAAACAAAACAATGCAAGTCCATAAACTGTTTGTTGCACCTTGGGCACAAGTTTTGGGGTTGACACCTGCCAAAGCGAATGAAGCGATGTCGCTATTGGAAAGAAACCAAGCAATGAAAAACGCCTCGCCACTCTGGCAGTGCCGCAAGGATTTCGCAGCTTCCGTGGCCTTTGTCATGAAGACAAGGAACAAACCATGGAAAAGTAGAATGCAAAGAGCGCAAAGTGAGACCCCGACCAGCACCTCCTTTATTGCAGCTGGAAGTGTCTCCTTTGCTGCACATGGTGGCTATTTTGTTTGTGTATTGTACGTCAAGAGGTCTGCAGCGCGTGCCTTCACGAAAACAGAAGCAGCTTTTATCGCCAGCCGCGTCGCTTCCGCCTGACAATAAAAAGAAATAGTTGTGCTTTGTCTTTGTAGTTCAATGTTGACCGTGACCTTTTGGCGGTCGGCCGCTTGCTGGGCCGCGATGCGGTCTCGGTGCTGCTTGTCCTGCAGCCGTTCGAACAGCTAGATAAACGTGTTCGTGACTAAACAAAACCTACAGCAAACTCCAAAAAGTTGGAAACCGAATTAAGGACAAATAGTGCTATGATTCCCTATACTTTACTCTTAGAAATTGAGGCTATCGGGTTTCCAACTTTTTGGCTTCTACCGTAAGCTCAAGGCCATTGCTCGAAAGTTTTTCTTCCAGCGTGTAGATGGAGAGTTCTTTCCCATCCTGACATTCAGGTCAGTTTGTCTCATCCCGTTGTCCAAACCACACCAAACGGCCTTGCCTTCAGATGGTAGTCGAAGAAAACTACACGTGAAAAACTTTGAGCGAAAAACTGCGGTGAGTATCACGTGGAATCAACGTTGCTACCTCTTGTTCAAACAACATCTACAATAATCTCTCACTCCGTAACTAGATTCGTTTGAACAAACACACAAGAAAGGTTTGTTGTAATTGAAAAGTTTTCGTTACTGTTGC